ATCTTATTGACATATGGTATTATTTTTTATGAGGTTTTTAAAATGTTTATTTATTTTTGAGAGAGAGAGAGAGAGAGAGAGAGAGAGAGAAAGGGTGGGTGAGGGGCAGAGAGAGAGAATCCCAAGCAGGCTCTGCACTGTTAGGTCTTGAACCCACAAAGTGTGAGATCATGGCATGAGCCAAAACCAAGAGTTGGCCACTCAATGGACTGAGCCACCCGGGTGTCCCTGTTATTAATTATTTGTTAAGATCCTATGAGGACATCAGCATTATGATTATTTTGTAAGTCGATTTTTATCCAGGTTCATCCACATATTTAACTCTTTACACACTTCATTCCTTCCTGCATCTCAGACCCTGCAGTTTCCAGGAATGCTTTTTTTGTGTGTCTTCATTACACATCCTCTGACCAGTGTTGTCCAGTATGGTAGCCATTAGCCACATGTGGTTATTTTAATATAAAGTAACTAACATTAACATTAAAATTTAGTTCCTCAGCCAGGTGCAGCCACATAGCTACAAGTGGCTGGTGGCTACTTTTCTATCCTCAGAGAAATTTCCACTGAGCTGTGTTGCTTTAAAATTTCCTTACTGAAGGTTTTATGGGACATGCTCACTCATTTTTTATTATCCAAAGTATCTTAACTTTGAACTCCTTTTTCAGAAACCTTCTCATGAACACAGGATTTTGGGTCAGATGCCTGCATTTGCTTGTATCAAGGGAAGGACAGGGGCTTCTGTCATCCTGCAGCTTAAAAGTCCAAGGTCAGGGACCTTCTCCTTAAATTTGATCCCTGTGTACAGCCCCCAAACGAGGCGGGAAGCGGGGCTCCACTTGTTCTTGCTCTTGTTAACTGTGAATTTCTCGTGATGCGGAGGGCCACATCTGCTACTTCTGTTACCTCCCTAGAACTGGGGACGAAGTGGCTTAAATGTCTTGAGCATGGATGTGAAATGGCAATTAACCAGTTACTTTCAGTTAATGAAGTTTTTCTCTGGGGCTTGAAATATCTGAATCAATTGCTTATATTGAAAAAGACCCAAATAACCATTTTAATTTCCATTTCAGCTTACTGTATATATGTGAGATCTCTAGAGTAATCACTGACTCAACCAAGGCAGTAAATTATGATAGCATTCGCTGTGGCTTCGGCTGTGCTAACTAACCCCTTCATATGGTTTAGTTACCTTTTTGTTAGGAAAACAGATGAACATAATTAGCCTTCAACGGGACTGTCACTTGGAATTCACTATCTTAAAATACTATTTCCAACTTTGTCTCTAAAGTGACCTAGCAATGACACAGTCCTCTGCCAACAGGATGCATGAGAAATATTCTCATATGCACCCAGATGCTCCTATTTAGGTCTCCAATACTTTAAGAGACGAAAAGCACACTCCTTGAGGGTAGCTAATTCCATGTCTTAGGCCAGTGAAATGCAAGATGTTACGGAACATCATGTTACTGACAGAAAGCAATGTGTGTGTGGTTTTTTTAACGTCTGGAATAATTCTTGAAGAACAATGGAGTCAGATGATACCAATTTGAGAGACAAGAGAGAATACTAATTATCATAATAATTAAATATAATAAAATAGAATAATATATAATTAATTAATATAATTATCCAAAGATAATTAAATATCTTTGAAGAAGTTGAGACTGTCAAGAGGCATAAAGTAAAAACTTGACAGAAAGCAGATAAAGGTGTCTGTTATTCAAAATTATTTTAGAAGAAATCTGAATTAGAATTAGATGACCAATGGATGGATTTCCTGCTTAAACAACATAGTTCATCGCTGCCTTTAAGAAATTCGTACTGGTTTATGTGCAAAAGTATGTGACTCTGGATAAATGCAACTATGATGAGTTTTAGAAAAAGTAGGTTCTGCGCCCCTAACAGGAAGGTTAGGTTGGTTCCGAGGATCACAGAAAATTACCAAGTAGGTAGCAGATCAAACAACACGGCAAAGTAATGAGTTAGCCAAACGTCCTGAAAGGGTAACTCGTGAGAAGTTGGAACCCGATGTCCCCAGGAAGCAAATGCACTCGAAGCCTGCTCGCGGAGGTGGAATGCCCACTGGCTGGGATGTCACAGCGAGGAGTGCACTCCAAGGACTGTGAGCTTGAATGGCCAATGAGCATCAGCAGTAAGTGGGAGCCCAGCCCTGGGGGTCACAGCCCCTGGAAGATACAACCAGCGTGTGCGAGTCCTGACCAAGAATCCTGGCTGAAAGCCTGCGGACTGTAATGTCCTTTTTATTACAGGTGAAGCAAATCACGGATGAATGCTCTGGAAAGTGTGAGCATAACTATTGCTATAACCTCAGCACAGTAGAAGTATTATAAACAATACAAGTGGGTCTGAACCACACCATCCGCAGGTTTGCAATCAGTTGGATATAAACATCACAAGAGTTTTTATGACCATTCTCATAATTTGAGTGTTTTTTCTGGTTTTAAGTTCAATTTAAAATTGCAGAGACACCAACCTACTAAACATTTTAACTAATAAAATGTTTAAGGTAATTTGAGGATGCTTTCAGTCAGCCTGAGTAGATTTTATTTAGAAAGCTAACGTCTAAAAGTAATTTTGTTTATAACTAATATTTATAAGCTAATTTATGTATTGTGGGAGTATTTAAATGTTTAGAAAAATTCCATTGTATATAGTCTATTATATGTAGACTGATATATATAAGTATATATATGAGTGTGCATGTATATGTGTATATATATATTTATATGCTTAAAATATTGAGCATTAAAGTAGAAAATTTCTCTGTATATAATAAACATCCTAGAAAGCATTCAAAGCATAATTCTGGCACCAGTAGGTAGAAAGTTGTGTGTGTGTGTGTATGTGTGTGTGTGTGTTTACCTGGACAGAAGTGTCAATTCCATATTTTTTCAACATGAGATATCTTCAACATGAATATATGATTTCATATCTGCAAAGATTGCAACAAAAACGGACTGTGGTCATGCGTTTTTACTCCCTGCGGAAAATGGAAGCCAGCCCACTGTTGCGTAGGAATTTCAGGACCTGCCTGCTACTGGCTGCGCGCCGTCATCTGTGTGACTCTGATCTAAGTAACGAAGGCCTTTTGTGCCACAGTCTTCTGATCTGTAAAAGGATAACTTTGAATGTCTAACCTCATTGGTTTGTTTTAAAAATTAAAGGGAGAGCCTAGAGAGGCGAAGCACTCTATGTAGCTGTAAAGGTTCTGTTTTAAGAAATGTCTTAAATGTTAAAGAAATTATAAAATCTCATTTTTCAAATCTAAAGGCAAGGGGAGACCTGAGACAGGGCCATTTGTATTCACAAAGTACATGATAAACCGAGTCCCTGGTCTCATCCTTTTAACACAAATAATGATACAATAAAGTGAATCCATATCATTTTTCCATCATGATCAGAGGATGGCAAATGTAGTCATTACTAGTAATTTTGAAGCAGAAGTTTTCCAGGAAGTAAGCCCTTCAGCTTACCTGCCCAGCCGTGTGATTTATGTATGATGAGTCTTGCCACGGGTACCAGGAACACAGACCTCTCTTCCTAAAGCACAACCCGTATCTTACGCTGAAAGTTCCACCACATATTATGGCTGGTATTCTGAAGAATATCAGTTACAGCAGTAACACTAGAAAAACAAGGCTCTTCGTAACCTGAACTTGCTACTACAGTTGTTTCCTTGGAAAAAGCAGCTTGGACTTGTTTAGAGAGACTGAGTAGAGAGGAGCCAAAGATTGCGTGTTCATGCCCCTGCTAACAGGAAATCTCTATGATTCTGAGGATAGGAAGATTTTTTTTTTTAATAAAAACGTGATACTTTCTCTGAACTTAAGTTTGCCAAACCGGTGCTTATGGGTACTCTCATCTTCCCCAAAGGTAGTAATTCTTGTATGCACGTTTAAGTAGCCCAAAGATCTGTCGCTAATCACAGTTTTATTCGGCTGTAGTATTTTGATGTGCACGGAATCTGTTAAGTCCTGGAGCTCATAAATGTGCCCACGGGCTCACATACACACATAATCCACTTCCCCACCGCTTGGAGTGCGAAGCGTTTCATATTTATCACTTCCTTTCTAATTCTTCCACATTGCCACTCATTACGAGCCAGGCTGGGGAAAGGGGAATGAGCCAGAATCTGTTGAAGGCACCAAAGGCTTTCTTAAACATGTTAGTGCATGAATTGCAAGACAATAAGTTAAGCAACCCAATAAACATGTTTTCACTTAACACGGGTCCACTCTATCCCCTGGAGAGAAATAGTGGAAGACTATTTTCGATAACCCAGCTGCACCGTCAGAGTGAATTTATACTCAATATGGAAAACACTGCAATTATATTTGTCTTCCTTCAAGGCAAGAGCCGTGAACTTCACAGTTTATTTTTAAAAAGCCCGTTGAAAACAACTCTCTGTCAGATGTGCTACAGGAGAGTGAAAAAGCTCCCTAAGTAGTGGTATTCTAGACCAACAGCATGCCCTGATCTGTCTTTCTACATTGTTAAATAATACTGGGGAGGGCATGAAGGGGGGCTTCACTTCATAACGGAGTAACCAGAAGTTCTAAAGTGTTATTCCCAATAATTGTTAATTCTGTACTATTTTCCTTTTCTACTGGGAAATAAATCTTGGGGAATGATGATCTTTCAACATTTATTTCATAGCTGGATGTTATTTGCAACTGGAATTTGTATATTTAGAGTGCTCCAGAAACCCAACTCTGGGGGAAGATCATGTTTAACCAGTGTTGAGTATATCGTAAGCATTCAACAAAGAACTTACTGGTTGTTAAATTATTGTTCTCTGGCAAAGGTTTAAAGTCCTACATTCACAGATATTTTAGCTTGTATTAATCAGTAACTATTAGGTACTTTGTGTTTTACTTCATGTTTGATGATTTAAATACCATCACAAATAATATTAACATATCATAGTATTCCCTCTATATACGTTAGAGATAACATAGCACACACACCATTACAGAATGTAGACATTTGCACATTTTTTAATAGAGTAGGGGAAAAAACAATATAATTCATAATTCAAATTCCAGTCAATTTCTCTTAAAAATATTTTCCTAATTTAATTCAAAAATGTTACTTTATTAACAAATTAGCAGGTTAAAGTTTACAAATCGGTAAAGGAAAATGGATTATACATCACTGCAATTTGGTACAAACGTTTTGTTTTCTCTTTTAACAAGGGAGCAGAGTACAATGGATTGCCCTATCTATAAACCTGTAAAATGCCGTCTACCAAAGTGATGAATTCATTTGGAACTTAATATGATCATTTGTTAAAGTTGCAAGGATTTCAGGTGTTCACGTTCAACTATGCCTTCCATAGAACAAAAAGTGCTTATCATTTTGTGTTGAATCCTACCCCCACCTGCACAGACCTTTTGGATGAAAAGTACGTATATCATTCACCAAGGTAGGCTTTTCATGTATTACTGTATTGAGATCCTGAAAATCCTTCACTGTTCACTTAAAGAAACTTCAATAAACATATAGTACTGTGGTCGAATGACTTTAAAGTGGCCCCCATGATCTCAGCCTGCTGGTTACAAGCCCTTATGGAATCTCTTCCTCCTGAGTGTGGGAGGGACCTGTGACTTGCTTTCCACCAACAGAATTTGGCAAAGGTGATGGACAGTCATTCCCATCATCACTTTGTGTTACATAAAACTCCCTATTATTAGCAGACTTGCTCTAGAGTGTCTCTCTCTCTCTCACTCTCTCACTCGACTTAAACAGAAACAGGCTTGCACGAATCTTCCAGAAGTAAGGAACGGAATGCTGCCAATAACCACAGAACGAGGACTCCGTAGCTGAGTCTGCAGATGAGAACACAGGCCTCACTGATACTTAATTGCAAGCTTGGAGGAAACAGGAAATGCGGGCCTTGCTCCTGATCCACAGAAACAGAGACGCTAAACATGTGTCGCATGAAGCCACTAAATTGTAGTAAGTTGTTATACCTCATAGAAAACTAATATGAAACCATAAGAAAAAAGGATTTTTTGAGAAAGAACTTAGTATAGAGGATATCTGTTTCTATTCTTAAAAAAAAAAATCACAAAAAAGTAGGTGTACACTCAAAGGTAGTAGCAAGGCTAAATGTGTACGGTTCCAGGTGGTCCTCTGGTGGTCAAAGTGAGCAATCTAGTTCCCAGCAGGCACATGGCGAGTGGCATGTGAAGATGCAGTACATCTTATTCGTAACTGGCTACTGAGTGCAAAGGGTGGGCTCCATGCAATTAGCTCATGGCCACTGCCACCAAAGTCGTTACTGGAACGATTCCCATGGTTAATATACATTCTTGGCTCCCCTAGTATCCAAATATACGCTACTGTGAAATGGGCTAGTCGATTTGGGGTGCTCTAATGGAGGCTGACCCCAAGATCCCAGATGCTTGACCAGAATGACAGATTTAGTGCAGATCCGACAGCCTGCACCCTCCCTTCTCAAAAGCATCTTTCTACCTTCAGGGCATGGTTTGCCTAGATCAGGTCAACATTTAGAAAAGGAAGTGGAGAGCCTTAGTTCCAAATGTGACTCTTCCCTAGTAAATGAAAAGAGAGTCATAAGAGATCAAACCGTTGTGATAGCCTCAGAGGAAAGGAAACCACAGGACGACAAAGAACAGTGACCAAATCGCCCCACATTTGAAGGAAATAAATTCAAGATTATATGTCATTTAAATGAAATGGATGAAGGCTACATTTGCAAGGGTAAGTATAGAGTTTATACTTGGGCACAGGTTTAGTTAGAAAATATACGTCTTGGGGAGCTCATTAGGTGATCTTTATCATAATCTACAAAGGTCAAAATGAGCAGTTACAAAGAAAAATAAGCAAAGTGTTGCAGATCGGAATGCTTCACGCACTCTGCTACCTATGCACTTTTCTGTTCCTTGAATGAACAGAATCCTAGAATTTCGTAGCTGACACTCAAGATGCACTTCACCACTAAAATGTACACAAACTGACTTAAAAGACACAATTAGTAAAAACAAGCAGCCAGAAAAGTGGTCTTTTCCAAGTTCCTAATGCATTTTTGGCCACCAGGCTCTGGTATGCAGGAAGATAGAAACCGCTCGAAGACCATCTGGGCAGCACTTCCTGCTTTACGAGCATCAGCAGGTGATGGCTAAAGGGAGCAAGATACAGATCTCCTCGCAACACACATCAGAGTCCCACTTTGGCTTCTCTAAACGTCTGTGTCTCCTTTTTAAGAGAGTAGAGCCACAGTTCACATCCTTGTCCTCACTTAACGCCCAGAGTCATTATGCAAAATACATCTGAATTTTCAAAGATCAGGTCAGAACAGTCAGAAACTGCCACACAGTGATCAGCGAGCACACCTAAGTCACTTCTACATCAACCGATCGTGAAGCAGCGCTGAGCAGAGCCTCCTGGGCCCACACACGAGCAAGCGGACGGTGCGCCACGGCCACCGGCTGTCCCGAGAAGACAACAGGGGGGACTTCGTCCACCGGGAACCCTTGGCTTAGCACAAAAGTCACGTCACCAGGGCGGTAAGTGAGCCGCCGCCGCCCATCAGAAGAAATACTCTTTCTGGCTTTCGGTGATTGTACTTCGCAGGTTGAGCTCACTTTTCAGAGCGGTCTCAGCATTGTCTCCGTGTTTTGGAATATTTGACTCATTTTTTTGGTACAACCATCTCTGCTGGTAAATGCGTATACCTATGGCAGTGATACAGAGTGAGATAAATATCACAACGGCTATCACACCTAGGGAGAGGAGAGAGAGGAAACACAGTCAGGATATTAGCTTTGTAATATACTATAGTATATACAATATAAAGCTTCATTTACATCATATATATATAATACACTTACATCACATATATTACGTCCTACATGTAATACATCATATACATTACATCCTATATGTATCTATGACCAGAACATTGGAAACCAAGTTGTATTATAGCACTGAGTTTACATCTAAGTCCATACATCCTTTAGATACAGCAGTTTTATGCCCTCATCCTGAAGACCGATCAGCTTCGCTTTCAGTTATGCCCTCATGCTTACATGCGGAACCACAGTGTGGTCATGCCCACGTCTCATGCTTATAATTTAACTATTTTTAAAGGATGGAGCGTATAGACCTGTCACAGAGTAATTAAATGCTTATGCATAAGTAATTTTATTTTACTTTTTTATTAGTGTTTATTTATTTTTTCAGAGAAAGAGAGATAGTGCACAAGTGGGAGAGGGGCAGAGAGAGGGAGACACAGAATCTGAAGCAGTCTCCAGGCTCTAAGCTGTCAGCAAAGAGCCGGACGTGGGACTCGAACCCATGCACCATAAGATCTTGACCTGAGCCAAAGTTCGACACTCAACCAACTGAGCCACCCAGGTGCCCTGCTGATGGGTAAGTATTTTAATGAAAATTTGGTGCTGACCTATTGCTGACTTATAGTTCCATGGTATGAATGCCACTTGTTTCTTCAGGCTGGAAGAGTCTTAGGTGATCTCTGCTGCTGGGGGTCCATGCTTTGTGTGACCCCCTTCGGTTGTTTGTGGGTAGGGGCTGTGACTTGTTTTTAACCAATGAAATCGAATAAAGGTGATAAGCAGGACCTGACTATGGGATTATGTTACATCAGGCTGTAGCCGCTGTCTCACGGGAGTGCCCCTCTTCCTGTCAGCTGTGAGGCAGCCATTGGTCATGGTGGGAAACCTCATGCAGCGGGGAATTGGCAGGGAAGCACCTAGGGAAGCATCTAGGGACTGAGATCGGGCTCTGGCCAGCAGCCAGCAAAATGCATGCCTCAGTCCTGAGGCTGGGAGACACCGCACGCTGCCAAAAAGCGTCAGGCGAGGGTGCGGCTCCTTCCCCGGAGAATCCCCGGATGAGACCCCAGCCCTGGGCCACACCTGGATAGCAGCCTCCTGCGACCCTCAGCGGAGGACCCAGCTAAACTGAGCCCAGACTCCTGATCCATGGAAATAATAAAAGTGGGTTGGGTTAAGTTACAAGTGGGTGGCAATTCATCACACAGCAATAGGTGATCAGTACAGCATTGCATTAAAACTTTGTAGAAATACTGAGAACATCCAACTTTACGGGAAATAGATCATTCGAGGCCTCCTGCTGGAATTGTTTTGAGTACTGGAAACATTAGCTATGCTGGTGGTTCTCAGCTTTAGGTGCGCAGGGAACAGTAACTCAGAATCTCTGGGTGGGAGACTGGGACGTCAGCTTTGTCTTAGAAGTTCCTCAGATTATTTGAAAGCACTGTACAGGGTAGGGGTGGTCAAGGGAGGTCTATCATAATAGTAAAGAGTGAATGTCCAGTGTAGACCAAAACAAAGAGGCAAAAACAGTTTTAAAAAGCATTCACTAGTCAATATACTTTTAAGATGACTGACACAGGCATTAATATTCTAATCAGCAAATGCTAGGAAACACATTATATGAATCAAAATTTGTACAAAATGAGGATTCTTCATCATACTCCAGGACAGACATAAAGAAGCGTGATGGAGGGGCGCCTGGGGGGCTCAGGTGGTTCAAGATCCAACTTGGGCTCAGGTCGTGATCTCGCAGTCTGTGGGTTTGAGCCTCACATCGGGCTCCACACTGATAGTGTGGAGTCTCCTTCGGATTCTCGCTCCCTCTCTCTGTCCCTCCTCTGCTCACACTCTGTCTCTCAAAAATAATTAAACATTTAAAAAAAAGCATAATGGAGTCCAGCGAACTCAAAGCTTAGTTGTGTATATTTGGTCACAGGGATTCCTGAACACAGGCTCTCAGGAACCCAGATGCTTCCTTCCTGAGAGCTCAGGGCGGTGTATTCATGATTTTTTTAATATTCTTAAATATTCATGGGTAGGATAGGCATCATTCTCAAAGCGTTACATCTCACTTGAGAACAAACGGTAGAGTTGCTTTAATTGTTTTTACGTTTAGTTAGAGGACTTTGCTTTAAAGAGCTATATCGTGTCCAATTTTAGAGTCCAAGACAGTAAGTCTCAACAACAGCCATCAGGCCACTTGATTATACAATTATGGTCACCATCATACTGAAACACCCAGGGTGTTATGTACGTAATTGATTACGAGCTTGTTTGTGTGTGAGGTTCAACGGGGTCCCAGAACCTCTGTCCTCAGCCATTCTCTGAAGAGACTGAGATAATTTGAATAATGCATCAGATGCATTCCATAGCCTTCCCTTCAGCAATTCCAGTGTAAATGTGTATGTGATGGGCACTCATGTCTGCCTGCCCTCCATCTAGCTACACGTCTGCCCCTTTCTCTCTCTGCCCGTCTGCAATTCGGATCCCTTGGCAAGAAACCCTCCGTGATCTCTGGTTCACCAGGTCTGAATGTTATTTCTCCTCTCCTGTGTTGTTCGCTTTGCTTGCAAGAGGAGAAAATGATCACCTACAACGCAGAGCCCAGAGCAAGTCACCTACTGGAGTAATCCTTTAAGCAGATCAAATATTTTACATGTGGGTACAGTCCGGGATCAGCTAGACAAAGGGCTGTGGATTCTACCCAGGGCAATACACTGTAGGTCAGTATACTCAGTGGCCGAGAAACCACTCAGCAAACAGTACTGTGCAGACCCAAAGCAGATACAAGTGAATTGTAGGACCCAGTAGCCTGAGTCGTCACCAGCCTAACCCCATCTGTGCTCTCATCCTCCATCCCACCTATCAGAAGCCAACGAGGATCTCTCTGGGGAATAATATTGGCATAACTTACTTACTTTGTACATCTTGCCCATGATATTTAACCAAACCCAGTAAAGCTTCGAAGACCACAGCTGACTATTTCCGTTGCTCTCATAAAGGCACTAACCATGATAGTTTGCACCCTTTTTGACTGTGATTCCTATTTTGAAAATATTAATCACTTTTAACTTTATTCATTTTAAATGAGCTTTTGCTTTACAGCGAAGTCATCTCATTAAAAATAAATGAGAACAGTTTAGGATTAAGATTGGATTTTACATGTAACACAAATGCATTCCTTTTTGATACACATTATAAGTAACATATTTGTTTTTTGTTGGTTTTTGGGTTGTGAAATCTGGGCGGGGTGTCACGTACCTCACTCACTACAAAAATAGAAATGGTTGAGATAAGAATGGGAATATTAACCTTCTTACATAGATTTGGTTGGCACTTGAAAATGTCTGAATACTTTCCTAATGGTCTGGAGAAAACGGGTGTTTTTCATGAACAGAAGTGAAACGACCAGAAACGATCTGACCTGGTGCTCAGCCCACCTGAAGAGCAGAATGCCAGAGGGATCGCCCAGCTCTGAGACTTATTCCTTTATTCACAACAGCAATAGAATAGATAGCAGTGAGCTTCCTCCTTACCAAGCTGACATTGCAATGGGCACATTGCATTAATCTAAGTAAATACATTTAAATGTTTCTGAATGGTAAGGAGGGAGACTTGAATATTCAGTCTTTCAGTCAGACCTAAATAAATTCTGTTTCAGAGGATACATTGGGAGGTATTTAAGATGCAATTACTTTTACTTCTTCAGATATATTAAACATGTATAAAATATAAATATATTCATATGAGTATATATTTGAATATACATATAGCTTAGCTATCACACTTTGCCTTAAAGAGCTACATTGCATCCAGTTTTAGTGTCATATTTATAGAATACATGTGACACTAAAAAATGTATATTATGTAAATATATAAGTAATTATATTTATAAATAGAAGTATATATAAATCTAAGATAAGACTGACACCAGAAACAGTTTTATATATTTATGTTTAGAAAAAATCTTTATGTCAGGGGTGCCTGGGTGGCTCAGTCGGTTAGGTGTCCAACTTCGGCTCAAGTCATGATTTCATGGTTGGTGAGTTCGAGCCCGGCGTCGGGCTCTGTGCCGACAGCTCAGAGCCTGGAGCCTGTTTCCAATTCTGTGTCTCCCTCTCTCTCTGACCCTCCCCTGCTCACACTGTCTCTCTCTCTCTCTCAGAAATAAATAATTTAAAAAAATTTAAAAAGTAAATAAACATTAAAATAAATTTTTTAAAAAGAAAAATCTTTATGTTGTATATCTTTATGTTTAGGAAAATGACAATTTGCATAGTTTAGGTGTTTTCCCCAATATATCTTTTACTTTTAATATTATTTTTAAATGTTTTGGGCTAATGGACTGAGAGGTCCGTGGCTATTTTGAACCAAAGAAGTACAGGTGGATGGGTCTTGCCTATATGTATCCTGAGAAATATTGACGGCTATTTTCAAGTGAAAACCTTCTTATTATTCTGTAGTCTGGCAGCCATTCACAAAGCGTCCCAGTGGAAGCGTCAGGGCCTCGCACACGGCGAGCATCAGCAGGTGTGCGCCCTGCCCTTGACCTCGCACATCCGCGCGCACCCCCACAGACGCTGTTGGGACGGTGCCAACAGTGACCACACCGCCAAGGACCAGGTCATTCGCAGCCCTGTTACCTCCGATGACAGCAGAGTCCCTTCTGTCAGCATTAACTAAGGGCTGTCCCTCATCTGTTGGTCCAGAACCACCTACAGTAGAAAAAGGGAGAATGACAGAGGCGGAGGGAAGGAGGAGAGCAGGCCACGGCGCGCCAGGCCCGAGCAGCGCGAGGCGGGCCGCGGAGGGCTCCGGAAAGCTCGGGGACGGGCGGGGGGCGGGGGGGGGGGAACGCACCTGCGCCACCTGCCAGCGGGCGGGTCGCCTCCCGCGCGGGGGCTCCGGGCGCCGCCCCCTCCGCGCAGCGGGACGCGGCGGCCACGCGTCCGCGCACGGTGACCGAGGCGGGGCCCCCGGGGCGCAGCGCGGCCTTGAGCGGCGCGGCGGGGCCGAAGCGCACGGACGACAGGCAGCCGGTGAAGCCGCGGGCGCCGGCCCGCAGCGTGTCCGGATCCGGATGGGCGCCGGGAGGCTCTGCGGGCAAAGAAGCGGGGCGCACGTTAGGGCGCGGGGGATGTGGCGAGGACGCTGGCGCAGCCCGCTTCCGCACGGGGTAGCCGCGCACCCCCCTCCCCGAACCCCTGTCCTTTCCTCCTTAGGAAAAGACAGCCGGAGCCAGTGCCCGCGGCCTTGGTGCCTGACACGCGGGTGCAACCCGAGGCCTCCCCGGCGGCGGCGGCGCGTTCCAAATGAATGAAATCCTCTGCGGTGCAGTCGTAGGTCCGATGATCGTTCTGGTCTTTTGAACAGGATTTGTGGCCGAGAATCGAGGTGGTTACAGTGACAGGCCTCCTGAGCGTGGGGACCACAGTGTTCTCGGGAATCCTTCCCGCAGCTCTGATCGCCCCGTTGACACTTCGGTCTGGCTCACTGTTTAGGAGAGGGCCCTCCCTAGCCGCAGGAGCCACGGGGGGAGCCCCACACCCCACTGCCTGCCCCCCTCACAGCGGAGGTCTCGGTCCCCTTTCCATAAGTGTGGCTTGCCCCTCATCACGGCCCCTGCCCCCGCCCCAATCTGACGGAGGTTGTTAGCTCCCGGGGTGGGGGCTGCGTCAGGAGAGCACATCAATTCCTTCACTTCGAAGATGGCCAGGTCCTGCGGCGCACTTGCCGGACGGCCACCAAATCTGACCAGAGGCCATGAAGCACAGGCTTCAAACGTTTCAATGCAGTGAGCCAGGGAAGCATCCATGGGTTTTACTGAATGTCACGGTAACTAAAGACCACCTCAGTGTCACTACAGTTAAGCAACACATTCTGCAGCTTCCACTGGAAGGGTGACAGAGTAGGACACCCCAAAATATGCCACACTGGCACAAAGACTATCTTGGGCTAACAGCACTTGAAAAACCAAGAAATGCAAGAAGAGCATTCCGACCATCCCTTGTTCTGCCCAAAAGTAGGAGAGAGCTTCTGGTGGCAAAGCTGGCCACCCTGTGCCAGGAGGAAAGGAACATTCTGGCCACCAGAGAAAGGGAGTCAGGCTGGAGAAATCTGTACATACAAACCTTGTTAAAGTACCTCCTGTCCCCATTTGTCCCCCCGTACATTTAATTACTCATGCACAATTACTACCCTGTGTTCAATCTAGCATACAAACACTATCTGCTCTTTGGCTCTTCATTTCCCTATGGAAGCGCCATATATGTTTAAAAATCTACATGCTTTTCTCTTGTTCATCTGTCTCGGATCAATTTAACGCTCGGGTCTAGCTGTGAACCCAAAGACGGGAGATGTAAAGTTTTGCTTCCCCTACAAACTCATGGGGTGGATTTCTTCAATCTCGTTACACATCTCGCCTTTTCTCCTATTAAACTTCATCTCACTATTTCAGTCTGTCCATCCTGAAAGCCAAATCTCCTGTATCCTTGCTCCTTCAGGTTTGGAAAAAAAGTCATATCTTTAAGAAAAATGGTCTAACATTTGGGAGCTACTTGGACTTACAAAATTCTGTTTGGCTATTTTAAACTTGCAAAAGTAAGTGCTATGTAAAAGGCCTCCACAAGCAACTAAAATCGGGGGCATGTTTACATTGTTATAATCACACACAAAAAAGAATTTTCTGAAACATACTGCTCTCTTGGCCAAGTTGATTATATGAGGAAGCATCAGAGAGCCTGATGAGTTTCAGGTAGATTCTCGCATTGAAGTAAAATGAGCTTGGGACGACTCAATTAAATGATTTTATATTAAAAGAATTCTGACTCAATTAAATGATTTTATATTAAAAGAATTCTCTAAAGATCAGTTAACTTTGTTTTTTGCATTCAGACAATACACATTCCTTAAAGAAAGGCATCTTCACTTGAATATACTTGAGAGAATGTCAAGAAAAAAAATGGGAAAACACTATAATAGTACCATAGGACTTCTGCAATGCTAAAATACAAAAAAAACAAACCAAAAAAGTACAGGCCAAGAAAAGCCTCAGCTGTTGAGCAAAAAAAAAAAGGGTGGGACAAGCACTTTCTTTCCTGGTCAAAGTCTGACATGAGTGCTTACCAGGCTAGGGTAGCAGAACAAACCTTAGGCAGACATTGACCTTAATTAATTAGACCAATTTTGTGAAATGTATTTTTTTAAGGTAACTGACCTTCATTTCTATAGGTAGTCTTATAACTCAAGAGTAGAACATTATAGTGCAGTATATTTTCATGTATTTCAAGAATGTGTACTTGAGGTTTATACACATATGTGGATTGTGGGTATGGACATGTGTGGGTGGATTTATGTGCCCACATGGGCTATCCTTAATCATGCAGATATAGCTGCGGCTACGTATGCATTTTTGGTGTCAGTATACATCAAAAGGTTTACTGCTCACCATTTCCTGTTGCCTTCATATTTTCCATCCTGAGGTCATGGTTCTCATTCATTTTTTGATTGGAATAACTCTCCAGTATTTTCCTCATATGGGATGCATGGTCAATATTTAATCTCCATCCTTCCTTGTTATCCAAAATATCTTTTTTTAACCTTGTCAAATACATTATATATTAGATTCTTGAGCTGCTGCTCATTCCTCAGGAGTGTAATGATATTCCGTCATTTTTTTTTTTATCCCACTGTTACAAATGAGAAGTTGGGTGCTGATGCCAAGATCATTATTTTTTCATTGTAGTAACTTCTGTCTAGAAAGTTTGGAAGGTTTTTTCTCTGTGGTTTTGCAATTCAGAAATTTTCACAGATGTATGTCTTTTCTCATCAGAATTGAGGAGTCCTTTCAATTTGCAATTCAGGTTTTCCTTCAGCTCTGAGAGATTTGTTGTTTTTTTTTTTTAACATGCATAATTATTGTCTTTGCTTCTAATTTTGTTTCTGGATCTCTAATTATTCATGCTACATTTCCTCTATTTTCTCTTCCAATTTCTCTTACTCTTTTTTCCTCTGTGGTTTGAGATAGTCCATCTATAAAATATTCCAGACCACTCTTTAAGGATAATCAGTGATGATTCTCTCCTTCAGATGACCCAGTGCAATCTTGAAGTTATGTTCACTTTGACCCCCAGAGTCTGTGTGTGCATGTGACTTTCCTCACATCTCCTTGAGCCCCAAGTTTCATCCCTGTTATTTTCTGGCTTCTTTAGCAGCTCTATTTTGATGTGGGAATTCTATTTGTTGTTTTGAATCCCTCTCCCCATCTCCTAAGGGATGACATTATTATTATTTTTTGCTTATTTATTTATTGGTCTGCTAATTTCACAACTCCAAGCTTGGGGATTTTATATAATGATATGGGGGTCCTGGCAATGGGGAGAGTGGACCTGTTCTTTTCTCGGAGCCAGCGGTGGACCTGCAGGCAGATGGGCTGACCCCAAACAAAGTGTAGGAAGAAGTCTCTGTCCCTCACCCTCACCATGGCAGAATGAATGTGGCCCAATCATCCAGCCCCTCCTCAGCTCCACGAGTCGCCCTGAGGGTGAGCACAGCCATGCTGAGCAGTGTTGACCTTCCTTCCCTCTGGAGGCCTGGAGTTCTCTGCAAGCCATGCTCTGCAGGCTTCACACGCCCTCCCTGAGACCCTGCTGTGCTCCACCCCACAGGGCAAATCTCCACCCCAGGTCTCTCACGCACACCTCCCAGACCCTCCTGGCAGCTGGGCTGGCCCTCCAGTTCCTCTGTTCGGGGCACAAGCACATTGAAGTAGGAGCAGAAGCAAGTGTTTATGGTCCAAGCTGCCATTTCACTTCCCACAACCAGGTCTACACAACATCAGCATCAGAATTAACAGAACTGTGTTCAGAAGGACAATGAGTGCAAATCTATCTTCCCTAATGGCTGCCCCCTGAAATCCCATTACTGAGGTCCTTCCTTCTGGCTCAAAAGTTTTCTTCCCTTTAAAATGCAAAGAAAAAAACATGAGGGAAACCTTAAAAGAATACGCGTTATTAGAAATTTACATATCAGGGGTGCCTGGGTGGCTTAGTTGGTTAAGGATCCATCCGTCTTCAGCTCAGGTCATGATCTCCTGGATTGTGGGTTAGAGCTCTGCAGCGAGCTCTGTGCTAATAGCTCAGAACCTGGAGTCTGCTTTGGATTCTGTGCCTTCCTTTCTCTCTGCCCCTCCCCTGCTCACGCTCTGTCTCTGTCTCTCTCTCAAAAATAAATAAACATTAAGATAAGATTTTTAAAGACATTTGTATATCAGGGTGACTATATTTGATCAGCTCCACACTTGAGGACACAGGTATACTAACAGGAAGTAAGATATCAAGTGCAGTTTACTACTAGGTTAATGGAGAAAATAAAGGAAAACTCCTTGAGGTCATATAGGTCATAATGGCAAACTGCACACACTTACCAGGCCGGGTGCTCCCCACACCCACTTCTTTTCCCTACTTCTGCGTAGCAATGACCCCAAGTCACCCTACCCCTATATGTCCAATCAGCTTTAAACACCTCTGTCAGTATGGGTGGGCTCCTTTTAACTTTATAAGCAAACGACCACCTTTGTTCTGGGTGAGCACAGGCATGCTGAGCAGTGTTGACCTTCCTTCCCTCTGGAGGCCTGGAGAATGATCTCCTCTGAGCGCACCGGTGTAAAATAAACCTCTTCCCTTCCAAGATCTCCGAGTGCCGCTTGGTTCTTCTGCCAGTGATCCAGACCAGATTTCCGCAATAGGTAAGGAGGGGATGGGAATGTGATTTGAGTGTAGCCAGGAAGCAGAGTAACGTTTAAGAAAAAGTGAGCTAAGAGTTGACGATAAAGTTCACTTCCTTTGTAATTTTGAGTAGAACCCTAAATCATTTTCAATAAAAACAGATTAAATCTATTTTTTTTCATTTAAAATATGCCCATGGTAGGAAATTTTTAAATTACAATCAAATTTATGACAATTCAGGACATAAACATTCTCAACTGTCTCAGATAATGTATCCCATAAGATACATTACCAAGGCTGTGCATTCCAACATATGGGATGCTTTCTGCTTTTGTGAGGAATGAGCATTTTAACAAAAGATACACAGGAGGG